TAATAGTAAAGTAGTATGCCTGTTGCCTGTTAATTGGTAGCTTATAATACTTGTGTCCGTGGCCAGGACTGGGACTAGCTCTTAGAACAACATGGGAAATATCGGGTGGAATTTTTTACTTATGAACTGTGGTCAGCTGAAATTTGTTTTGGATCTTTGGATGGAGAGAACAGCGAGAATCTGTGTAAGTGCTGATGAGATGTTTTACTGATCTTGTGGGCTATGGTTTCTGTGAATTGTCAAGGAATGGTTTTTCTTCCTGCAAAATTTATCCTCTCAGCTATATTTTGTTCTTTCTGTCTGTTTACATAAACTTCCGCAATTGTGGAGCTCTATATGTTTCTGTGAACCTTTTTAGCACAGTCTTGCAGTGACTGGTATCTGATAGATTAAGCTCATGTTCAAATGCAGCATGCTTAAATTATATGTTTTAGAGATTTGTTTTCGGTGTAATTCAGAAGTATCTAGAGTGGCTGAGGAGAAAAACACCTCTGCTGTTTGTTACTGTGCTACACTGGCATGTAGGATGGAGCTGAGTCACTTCAGAAGTATACAAAGAATGTGCATCTTGAGCAATAAGCAAACATTTGTCTGTGGTGCTTCTGCTTCAAATCAGATTTGGAAGGATAATTTTCTGGTTTGTTTAATGTATCATGTTTTGTAGTGTAAAAAGTACAGAGACCAGTTCACAGATCAGCAGAAGCTTATATATGAAGAAAAACTGGAAGCAAGTGAACTTTTCAAGGACAAGAAGGCTTTATATCCAGCCAGGTAATGACTTATTCTGCTGCTTTTAGTGTACAATAAATTCAATATCCTTACATAGATTTAGGAAACTAAGAAAGATTTTGCTTTTTATCTTAAGCGGCAAAGTGCATTTTCCTTGTTTGACAATGTCCCTCCATCATTTTACTTTACAAATCCTGGAAATTGACCTCAGTTTGCTTCTAACTTAGATGTTGTTGCAGCCTACTAATCCTGTGATACTGAGCACTTCTGTCCAGAAGCCATGATGTTTTGTTGTTCTAACCCCTTGTGATCTGTTCACATTGTAAAAGTTTGGAAAACTTGTAGAAGGGAGTAACTCTCACCCTTTCCCCTAGTTTTCATCACGCTGGTTCCTGCAACCAATAAATGTAGAGTGAACTGAAAGGCTGTAAGTGACAATGTCACTCCCAGATGAGGTATGCCAGGGAGCTCTCCCATGTTCAAACTTAGTACATTCAGCATAATGCTCTAATGTGAAGGCTAGGTAATTTAAGAGTTAGATATGTTGGTATATATCTTTTTGAAAGGATACTTTAAAAAAAAGGTGCTTAGAAGCTTGTTTCCATTTTAGAATCTTTTTTTTTTTAATTGGAGACTTTTTAAAAATGTGAAATCTCTGCAAATAAGTTTTTTGGTTTCTCAGATTATTGAGTTCTTAAAAACTGATAAATTCTTGTCATTGCTATCTGCAGAGCTAACATTACTCAAGAAAGTGCAGTAGTATCTAATGTTACTTAAGGAATGCACTTTTTTTTTGCATGCAATAAAACTGACAAAATAGAGATCTGATGTCCTTGAAAGAAGTTGAATTGAACTTTTTAAGTGAACATGAGCTTAGAAATTGTGTTTTTCTTGAAAACAAAGGTCTCTTCGATCTCAGGAGAGTTGTTTCTTTTAGAAGCCATAGTTTGAGCTAAGCAGGAACTGTAAAGGGAGAAGCAAGGTTCAGTGGAGAGAGGAACAGGAATCTGCAAGAGTTGATGAGGGCAGTTCCATGCATGGACAAGCTCTGCTTGGATGTTTGTGTGTTTTATTGGTTTTGTTTTATTTTGTTTCTTTTTTTATTGCGACATTTCCTTTTTTCCTGTAATGGGCTCAGTATATGTTTCTCTTTCTTCCCTTCAGTAGATCACTTATTTAATGGCTATATATGTTAGCTTGTGGTTTGTTCCTTATTTGCTTTGGAACATCTTTTTATGCTGCTGGGAAAAGGGAAAGATGCTGCCTTTGGACTTTTCGAGGAGCAAGCAGGTTTTTTTGCTTTGAGTCAGTATACATCTGATCAGTGTAGAGCTCCTTGAGAAGAAAGGATTTTTATTTATATCCTGGTTTGGTACTTTTTACCAGGACTGAACAATGAAATATTATACAGCAAAATATATATCTGAGTTACTTTTATCCAAGACATTCTTAAATGGTATACGTGATAGAGGGTAACTGTTGATTCATTTCAGTTATAGCTTGTAAGTCGTTATCGTTTGATTAGGGACAAAGTCCACAGGGAATCTACAGTTTTGGTGACTGTGGTTTCATAATGCTAATTAATAAAAACAACAAAACCCAAAGCTCCAACATGGTAGAAATTTAGAATGCTTTCCCCACCCTGCACTCATTTAGAAACATTTCCATCTCCTTTTGTCTTGTAGTCAGAGCTGATTAGCTCCTGTTGTTTTTTTAGTTGGCATAAGGGTGGAGGAAATTACTGTATAAAGTTTCTGATTATTTAGTATGATAGTGGTTCATAGGATGTGGCTAATTTTCTGTGTGTAGTATAATTATTTAAGAACAGAGAGGGACTTCTTGCGAGTACTAAAATACCAGTGCCCTTCCTTTTCTCTCCCATCTCCCTGTGTGCCAGAGATGCAATTACAAAGGTATTGCTATTCCACATAATATATTGGTTCCTCTTGGGCTCTAGTCTTGGCAAAGCTTTGCATTTAGTACTTTGACTGTAATCTAATCAAAGTGATTAGTTGACGGGACTTCCAAACAAAGCAAGCAGCAACTGTATTCACCAATTCTTAACTGATAACGAAGCTGTTACTGTATAACCCTGAGGTGGCTAAAGATGGGGTGATTTGCAAGCGCAACAAGTCTTGACGAAGAGCTGTTACACCTTTAATAAACAGCAGCAGATCCTGAAGGCAAGTTCTTGTCTGCCACTCTGAAATACTGTGGAAGAGCAGAGATGTCGGTCCTACTAAAGTTTTATTTCCTCTGTTTTCACAGAGACTGTTATTGGGTGATTTTAAATCAAAATTGATTGCATATGCAAGGATGTACTTGTGTCTGATACCCATAGCAATTTGGCCCATTTAATTGGAGAATGTTTCCAGGGCAAGGAAAAAAAAAATCCTATTACTGTCTTTGGTGATAAAATTCTTTATTCACCATCACTGTGCTGTTAATGTGTACAAGATTCTGTGTCTAATACACGTACCGTTTCTTACCCTCCTCCTCCTTTCTTCTTTCCCCTGGGGTAATGTGCTGGAGATATATCCGCACTACTCTGTAGCAATTCCCAAGTTATTTTCATCTGATGTAGTATGCCTGCACGGCACAGATTGATGCCAACACCACCACACTGAGTGAGCGGTGGTACTGACCTGAAGGGTCTCGGGGCAGAGCTCGGTGGGCTGCAGTTTTCAGCTTCTCAGCAGGATTGAGGACAATTGCGAACACCATGTTAAAAGCTCTGTTTGTGTTCAATTATGTATTGCTCTAATTATTCTGTCATACAATTGCAAATTATTTTGCGTTGCTGTTGTTTAAAACAGGTAGAAATTGTGAGTAGAGGTTTCTGGGTTGATCAGAGTATTCTTTCGCTAAAAATGAGGCAGCAAATGACATTCCCTGGCAGAGAGTGTATCAAAGTTTAAAGAAGCTTCTGGCAGCGTAGAGTCACTGAAAATGGTATTTGGTGCATCTCCTGGCTCCACGAAGCCTGAAGCAGAACGTGACAGTTGCAGGAGGTTTACTTCTTCCCTGCAATTCATATTTAACGCGTGTTTCTCTTGTCTTTTTGCTGGGCAGTGTTGGGCAGCCGTTCCAAGGGGCTTACTTGGAAATCAGCAAGAATCCCAAGTACAAAAAACTTAAAGATGCTGTGGACGAAAAGATCATTATTGCAGAAGTTGTGAATAAGATCAATAGAGCTAATGGGAAGGTAATAAAATGGCATTGCTTTATCCAGAAGGGTAGATCATTTTTGTTATAAATAAACTGAGAGGGAGACTTCATTTCTGTCATGTAGTAGTCTGAGGATTTTAAAACTGCCTTTTTTTAAGGGCAAGACTGGAAATGTTGGGTTTATGTAAACTGGTGATTTTAAGCACCCATTTTAAATTTATGTAAAGATTACTAAAATCTTGTTTGGGTTTGTAGTTTTCAGCGACTTTTCCAAACAAAAATGGCATCTCATCAACTGGTAACAGGCTGTATTGATTCACAACTAAATGTAGTCTCTGTACCAAACTTAGACCTTCTATTTGCCAATTGAAGAAAATAAATATTTAGAGAATATTGTTCTTGTTCAAGTATTTAGAAAACTTAACCTTTCAAGGTTCAAACTGTCGTTCAAGCTCCTGATTATCACATTTTACTATGTTTTAAAGTTGTGAGTGCCACACTCGGCTAGCTTTGCCTGTCTTCTGATTGATATCAAAAGCTTTTTGGAATGAAGAGGCAAGTTTCTTGTATCATTTGAATGAAGATGTTAAATATGCTGGGTACTTTTTTATTCTGCCAACATAGAACTTGTTTTGCATTTAAATTATACTTACTAAAACAGGAATTATTATCCTCCCTTAGTAAATATAATTGTTTTCACCATATCTGTCTGAATATTAGAAGTAATAGATCTCAACTTCTTAGATGTAGATGTCATTTATGCATTTGTAGGAGTGAAATTAGGTTGCCTGTTGTTGATGCCAAGTTAATTTTCCGGTTTAGAAGAAACTAGTTAAATGAAGGCAAAATCTTTCCTGTACTTGCATAGGCTACAGCTCTCAAGATTTAAAAAAAAAAAACCCAAAACATTATTAATGAGGTATGGTTCTCTGTGCTTAAGACAGCTACTTCTTAATGATAATAGTTAAGATTTTATTATTTACAATTTTACAGGAGAAAAAGCTGTATGTGGATTAAGTTCTCATTTCTCTTTCATACTGCTTTCTAAGATGAATTTAAGAACACACATTCATGCTTTAAAAATAATAGTCATTTGAAAATATGAATGTGTATCTGCCTAAAGAAGAATTCCAATAGATAAATGGAGGAGAACATAATATTGAAAATACCTATGCGATTTGTGTTCTGCAACACAGTTTTGAATAACAGTAAATAGTGAGGCTTAGTCCTGAATTAGCTATCACTGAAAAGGTACACTGGTTTTCCTGGGGATTGACAGAGCATGAGAAATGAGGTTATCCTGATTTGCATAGTTTCTGAGTTTCAGTTTCTGAATTTTATAACTGTAAACTAGTAATTAAAGGAACTGTTTATATCTAGGCATATGTGCCAAAATGAGCTAAGCTTCTCAATCTATAATTAGACACACAAATAAATTTGACCTGATTTTAACTGATCTGCAGCTTTTACAGAACATCAAATGTTCACGTTTACTAATGTGGGCCAAGCTTATTAACTCTGTGAACTGCTTGTAGTCTTAGTAGGTGCTCAATAAAGACCAGTGCTCTCTTTGTGTGGATGATGGTTTGCATTTTTGTATTTTCACAGGCTACATCCAGGATTTTCTTATTAACCAAAAATAACGTTCTTCTTGCGGATCAAAAATCTGGGAATATCAAGTCAGAGGTTCCACTGGGAGATGTTACCAAAGTGTCCATGAGCTCCCAAAATGATGGCTTCTTTGCAGTGCACCTCAAGGAGGTTGGTTACAATTTTATAATACAATAAGATGACTGTTTTACATGCAGCGTTACAAAAATTGTTTATTAATTATCTTGTAGCATTAAATTGTAGCAGTTAGCCTGTAGGTTTAGAAGTTTATTGAACTTTGCCATATCTGCAAAAACTTTGATTTAAAACTACTGAAGCCAAATGAGAACAGTTATTACGTTATGAACGATCATTTATTTGTGAAAATCAGACTTCATATTTCACTCTTCAGGATTGGAGTATTCCATTTGTAATATGGGCCTTTAATCTGGTTCGGATACCTTGTGGCAGTGTTTTCCTTTTTAGCTGCTCATGTAATTCTTCCTGACACACTGGCAGAGTATTTCTCTCTCCTTTATGGGATACCAAGAAATCCATGTTATGGCACAGCTAGTTTTGGTTACTCAGTTCTAAAGAACTTAGTTCAGTGCTATATTTGCTTCACTGCGCTGTCAGCATTGCTCTGCTAAAATCATTAAGCTGGCATTTGTATTCTAGCTTAAAAGGATTTGAAGAACATCATCTATAGTGTCTTTTCATACTGACAACCTTCATTCTAATACTGGTGTTGGCAATTGGTCTCTGTTCCTTTCTGAAAATATTGTGAACTTGCTGCGGTGTAGCCAGAAGAGGGATACAGAAACACTACAGTTTTGTAGGACAAATGAAGGTGACCCTCCTTTTAGGGTCAGGAGGGGTTTTTGTCTTTCTCCACAGGTTTGTTGTTTATTTGAAAGCGAATTGTGTGTTGATCCTACACACTCTACTGCATCCCTATATAATTTACCAGAAAAAAGACTGTTGTTTCATTGCACTGGGAAGAGAAGACTCCTTATAAAACCTCCTGCTTGGCTGGCATTTAATATTTTTCATATTCTAGATTTTGGTAGTCCTAACTACTTTCCTTTCTGTTTCAGGGTTCAGGAGCAGCTGGTAAAGGAGATTTCCTGCTCAGCAGCGATCACCTTATTGAAATGGCCACTAAACTCTACCGCACTACTCTCAGCCAAACCAAACAGAAGCTCAACATTGAGATATCCGATGAGTATGTTTCTTGTTTGCTTAGAAGTGCATTTCCTTCAATGCAACATGCTAAAAAAGCCAAGTATCTAATGTTAGAAAAACAAAACACTGTTGGGTAACTAGTACTTCTTTTCTCTTGACACAATACTTGTAAATAAGGATGCAATTTTCAGTGTGTACCATTTTTAGTATTCATTTTGGCTCTTACCTCCTTGAAAGTCATTCAAGAAAATGTGCTTTTCTTAAGGTAGTTTCAAATAGAGCTATGAAGCAGAATTGCTGCTGTAGAAATAATTAAGAGATACTACATTTGAGAGAATCATTTTGTGTGTGACTGAAAAGTTCATATACTCCTATGAGATGTTCGTCGATTAGAGTTGACACCAGGTGCCAAGTTCCAGTGAAAACAACCAAAACAGAATGAAAAGCTCCTCCCCAAACACAAGTAACGATGGTGCTAGTAATGTAGGTCCATAATGCTGTACCTTCTTTATTGTGAAGGTGAAAAATATATTATTAAAATTCCTGCTTATGGTGTTTGAACACCCATTGTTGTTTTGGGTTTTTTGGTTGTTAAAAAGCTTTGTTTGATAAAAAGCTTGCATCTCAAATTAGTATTTCTTTCTGCTTGGTTCAGTTTCATATTTTGGCCTTAAGTAAGGACTGCACTTGCCGTGTTTATAGCCATGGAATAAAAACATGTGTGTGTGTGTGAAATCTTAAAGCCTGCTGAGTGAGAGTCCCTCACTTAGTCCACCATTGTTATGCACTCAGTCTGTTGTGTGAAATGCCCCCTGATTTCAGCAGTGTTGATGTGGTAGTTTTACTCATTTTGAATAGAGAAGAAAATTTGGAACCCTGTAACAATAGTGAAACAAAATTTCTGTAGGCAAAAATGGAACCTTTTATCTGGCTGCACAGCACTGCTTGTATTCTAGAGTAATGGCGAATACCGTTTGTGTCTGTTCAGATTTCAGGGTTTATTTAAAGGCTAATTTTGTTGTTTCTTTGAAAATGACATCTGCCATTTTCCTTTGTTCTGTTACCAGATGTAATTTAATTTGCTCAAGGGTGTGCGTTTTTAGCCTCTAAAATGAGTGTGGCTGTCCCCAGTAAGATTTTAGTTTAATGATGGCTACAAAGGAATAAACTACCAAAACAAAGTTTAAGCATGCATTGCACTAGTCTGGACAGCCTGCCTGTCTTAGGTCTGGAAAACAGTCTGCTTTCTGGGAGTCTTGCATTTTGGGATGTGGTTTTGTTTCTTGTCTTGCGGATTAAAAACATTCAAGTGTGTATTGCTATTGAGTTTGTCCAGACTAAATAATTCTAAGTCGTTTGCTTCTTTTTTAGTAGTTCCATTTCTGTTGATGGTGAAGCAGTACTCTCTTCTCCCTGCTAGAGTCTAGCTACAAGCACAACTAGGAATTGCAGAGAAATTGTAGTGTTACTTTGACTACTGTACACTACTTTTTGGAAAGAGAGCTTATATAAGTAAAAATGCTGTTGATGCAGGGGTATGTCTAATAAGGGACATACTGTTTATATATAATATTGGAACAATGGGTCTAGGAAAATGCAGCGTTGGTGACAAGAGATGATGGCTATAAGACCTACTCGCGTTTTCCGGATGCTTGCATGGCTGGGAGCGCCGAAGAAGTTAATCTTTGAGCGTCTGGGC